TGACGATTGGTTACGATGGTAAAACGCAATCCAAACAGGTATTTATCTAGGCGACGGACGGCCCAATATACAGCTAGTGCTTCTTTCTGCGTCTGCAATTATCCTCGTTCTGCCTTGTGGAGTGGACGGGAGATGCAGACAATTGGACATCCGTTCTGTTCGAGGACAGCGACAATGCCAACATCTGATGCATCGCTGATCAAATTTGGATATTTTGTCGGAGAGAACGAGGCGATTACTGGTCGGTTATCATCTGAATTATTTCACGCAGAGTTTGTTCACACTCGGCAGTCCATTTCCATTCCGTAGTCGACTGAGCAGCAAACAGCGGTTGGGCTTTGTGGCGAAGTTCGGAATGAAACGCGGATAGTATTGGAGACATCCCATGATGGATCTGAGTTGGTTCTGGTCTCTTGGTGACTCGAGTTCAGTCAATGGGCGAAAGTGACTTGAATCATGGCGATAGCCTTTTGCATTCACCGTGAAGCCCAAAAATTCCAATTCTGGTGAGCTCAACATGCATTTGGAAGCGCAAATTGATACGTTCTTTCGGGCGAACGGCTCCTGTAGTTTGAGGAGTCTATCGTCATGCTCGGCCTTCGTAGTACCAAACACAATGACGTCGTTCTGGTACGCTAACACGCCATCGAGTCCTCGGATGACTTCGTCAATCGCCGTCTGAAATATGCCTGAGGATGTGTGGAGACCAAACGGTAGGAAGTTGTATTGATACAGTCCCCATGGTGTGTTGATAGTGGTGAACTGCCGGCAGGTTGGGGAGAGAGGAATCTGGAGGTATGTATCAGCCAAGTCGATCTTCGAGAAGCATGTGCTACCGTGCAATGCTTTCATGAAACCCTCCGGTTCCATGGTGGTAGCCGCACACTTTTTCAACCGCGGGTTGAGGGTTAATCGGTAATTGCCACAAATTCGCGGTGTTTTGCCGTCACTTTTGATTGCGATCACGATTGGCGTTGCCCAAGTACTGGATGTGACTCGTGTGATTATGTCATCGTGCTCCATTTTCTCAAAGGCTTGCAGTACACCATCACGTTGGCCGTAGGGAATTAGACGTCGTTTCAGGAAACTGGGTTCACCATCAACTTCCAGTTTGGCCGGCTGTGCGTTCATACCTCCTGTACTGTTGGAAAATTGGATTTCAGCTTGGGGACAGATTGACCGAAGCACAGCAATAGAAATGATAGATTCCGTGCTTCCCGTGTCAACAATGAATTTGTGCGTTGTACCGAACTGTAATGTCACATCTATGTATAGGAGTTGGGTGCGTTGTCTTTTGGATCGTAGAGAGAGCACAAGATTTGTGTCATTCGCAGCAGTTGGCTGTACAAGATGGCAACGGGGCTGTTTACACACTCTCCGAATGTGGCCAGTTTTCCGGCATGCATGTCACTTGGCAGTTCGGAAGCGGCAATTGGAGCGCAGATGCTAAGCTCCACATGACAAACAGGGATTGATACGTTTCTGGTTGCCTAAAGAGTTGTGCTGCAGCTTCGGTATACACTTGGCCATTGGGGGATCGGTTCGGTCCTGTCTTCTGCCGTTGGAACAATGTGACTGGTTTGCTGGAAGTAGCTTTTATCAGGACGTCGTGTTGCTCACAGATCTTGCAAGCATCGGCAAAGTCAAATCTTTCTTATTCAGCAACTTTCGTTGAAGAGTCAGATTATTGATGCCTGCCACCAAGCGGTCACACATTCGTTCTTCCAGGCGACCACCATTGTTGCAGCGTAATGCTTGTTTGTTCAGCTGCAGGATGAATTCACTGCAAGAAACATGACCGGCACGAATCATGGAGTTGACTTTGGTTCTTCGCGTGCTTGAAGTTCAGTGGGCAGCAGGTGGTTGAGCAGCAGCGATTTCAGGGACTGGTAGTTTATCTGGAGCCTAAGGGAACACCAGGTTTCTCAACAGGGAGTACAGGTCATAGCCGCCAGCAGTAAGAAATAGGGCTAATTGATTCTGTGCACCACCATTGCGAATACTGCACCACAGCTCCAATCGTTCGACCCATTCCTCGATCTCAGATGGGCTTGCCTGTAGGTTCAGTTGCTCCATCGTTGGAAGCTCCATCACGTGACGCCAAATTGTAATAATTGTAGTAGTAGTCGTATTACACACGGAATTCGGAACGCCAACCACGCAATATGAATCACAGGACTCCAATCAATAATCAGCTATCACGGACTGGATCTCAGAAGCACTGAATCACAATGGCACGGGTTCGCAATGTCCCACGAGAACGAGACGCGAGGAAAAGGCCACAAGAATGGTAGTAAGTAGAAGTTCTTTTATTGGAGGAAATGAGGGTGATTAAATAGTATGCACAAAAGATGATTATTGGTTGTCTAGGCCTCCACCAATCGGATCGCATTACTGCTTGCATAATTCTGCTTCTGTCTACACTGTCTTGGATTGGCTGACACCATCCACCAATGACGTGTATACAGAAGCCATGCGAGTGCCATGGACATCAGCATTCAAATTCGATTGATCGCAAATGTCCTCAAACTGTAACGCGCCGCTCCAGGATAAGCGTCATTGCGTAGGCCTGGATCATAACAGTGTCACTTGGCTCAAGTGGAGAAAGGTCACATCAACTAACACGATAAACATGGCTACACGCAAACACACACTCCCATTACTCTCTGCCCCCGATTAATGACTTTGAATTGAGCCAGTGGCTATCATTATGTAAGTTTTTCCCCCACTATATAATATGTAAGAGCATGACTAGAAATATCCGAAAACAATTGTTCGCTCACCGACTCGTCTTCTCAATGCGATCATGGAACTATTCAAGCTTTGAGATCACATTTCTGTCTGATTGGAGAACTGTTTAAATCGTAGCGGTCTTCCCCACAACCTCCTCCTGAAAGATCATCCCAATAAATCGGTCATTTTCATTGGGTGCATCTCTTGTATTTCCCTATGGTGGTGTCTTGTAGATCAATAACGAAGGCTTTTTAAATGGGATAAAAATACACCCGAGGTTTCTCGTTTAAAGGCAACCAGACTCATTTATGAAATGAACATTAGGACAATGTGTCATACGCATCATTTTTAAATCTACAAATCTGGAACATTGGTCACGCTTGGAATGATTGTAGCTCTCCATCCGATTCTTGGTGTGTTGGCGTTATCCGAGCTGTAAGTTTTGGTATTCGCAGAAAATTCATAGCCACACCAATGCATGATCATCAGACAAACTTCGGGGAAGCTACACCCAAGATGAAAATGAATTTAAACACTGATAAGGTTGCTTAGCCTGGCTACAAAACGGCTGCGACCAACTTCAGCTCTTGCGGGACACACCAACACGAACATCGGTAAGGTTCATCCGGGTGGGTTAGGAACTAAGTGTTAATCAACACGCTTACAGTATTATTAACTACTACTTTACACATAAATTAAAGTGTATCATACAATACAGTACAGCTATGACTTCCTAAAAGGTGAATAATGTTTTAAGACATTTATGGAAATCACAGCCGTTATTAACGTTAAATGGAATGATATTACCGGGTCCTTCGAGTGCAAGTTTCTTTGTACCTGAAACAAAGTAAGTTTTCAATCAAATACTTGAAACAGACATGTTGATTGCACATAAGCAATGTGAATAGATAGAATGCTTTCAATAACCATCGGGATGTAATTCCAAAAATGGCATTGACTTAGCCTTTGATGTGGCTCCGTGGCTTATCTGGGGCGGGGGGGATAACCAATTCTGACCAAAAGTACTGACAGCATCGCCGTGCGTCTTCTCAAATCTCATCGGAATCAAAATGATTGTGGGCACATCTGGTATGTGCGTGTGTTCGTTCACTCGTTGTTCGACGCGTTTTCTGATATATCTAACAGAACTGCATCTGTGTGAAATAGTACTGAAAATGAGTCAAATGTCCACTAAGCTCGCTCACCGCGTACTGCATCCAGTTTCAGTGTTTACTTTGTAATTGTGTGCACAAAAAACAAACAGTTGTCATTTGCAACTCTCTTTGGTCGGCAGGCGGTTTGAGTGTTCCGTCACACGCATACTAATTTCTGCTTTGTCAATCAGGTATCTGTCATTCCCCTGAGTGGGCCTACTTTTACAAAACACTGCAATATTTATTCACTATTGATCAGCCCAGGCATTGCGCATAATCTTGTCGTATTGTGGCTAAAGATTATATTCCGCACGGATTCAAAAAGTGAATTGCATTGAAATCTATTAAATTATTATTAGAT